GATGCCTTACAGAAGCATTTCCTTTCCACTGAGATGGGAGAGCACACCTGTGTGGCTGTAACTATCCCTGGGAATTGAGGACCCTAGCCTCAGATGGCTTTGCTTGACAGTGTTTACCCTACAGTAGACCTTTCCTTCCACCAAAAATGTCAATAAATACTGGGTTCCCTGGTTTGTCTTTACTTCTTTTCTGAAGGGAACCTGCTGTCTTTAGAGGCCTAGCTCAGAAACATTGCTGCAGCCCTGTACCATGGATCTAAGGCATGGATGGAGATGATGGCTGCCATTAGTGCTTAACAGTCCAGCTGATGGATAGGACGCATATATGAGAAATGAATAAATCAGTGAACCAGCAAGAAGTACCTCAGGGCGGGGCTGACCTGGACCATGAGTCTCTTGAGTTATCTTTGAGCTTTCCATGGTCTAATGTCCTGAATCAGGAAAGGATAGATTCTAGAGAGAGGGGAGACTGGGTTTTCCTATCTGGGAAAGACCAAACACAACCAGGAGTTGTGGGGGAGCTGCTGTGGGGTCATAAGCTGAGGATAAGATGATGGAAGGAGGGAATCAGTGCTGTTGCACCTCAACCCCCGAATTCAAGGGCCAGTGATGATAGGCAGCAGGGAAGATGGCAAGAATGGACAGCTTTAGTGGGACTTCATTGGCAACTGCAATGGAGATGAAGTTAGAGTTAACCCTTGGCCAGGTCTGAACAGCTAGCAGAGGCTAGGAAAGTGTAGGTGACAGGAGGACATGTTCAGTGGACAGCATCAAATCCAAGTCTGAGTCCTGGTGAGCAGTCAGGTGTTACCAACTTCCATAAAGAGTAAAATGGAAGCCAGGAGGGTCTGGCAGGTTATGACATTCAGAAAGTTGGAAAGATTCCTGCCTTGCCTCAGGAACTCTGCCTCCTTGAGCATCTCTGTTTTTTATCCCAGGATATCCTCTTCGATGCAAATACACACAAAGTAAAGAAGTTTGTTCTACATACCAATTATCCTGGGCATTATAACTTTAACATGTGAGTACATCCTAACCCTAACCCTGTACCTCCAAGAAGTGTGCTTTGGGCTGAAAACCTCAAGGAAAAAGAACTTACAGTTTTGGGTATTCACTAATTTATCTCTACCTGAATTTTTTTTTTTTTTTTGGTTCCGGAAATCGAACTCAGGACCTTGCACTTTCGAGGCAGGCAGCAGCACCACTGAGCTAAATCCCCGGCCCCTCTACCTGAATTCTTGTTTTTTTGTTTTAAATGCTCTACCACTGAGCTATGGCATCTACCTGAATTCTTGCTGTTTCATGGGAAATGAACCTTTATTGATTGCCTGCTATGTTCCTGCAACAATGTCCAGTGCTTTACATTTCTCTATTTGTACTCATTTACAAATAGGTAAATAGAATCAGAAACCTTGATATGTTGTCCAAGGTGATAGGTTCTTTAGACCATAGAGCCATATTCTTTTCTGTTTGAGTTCACTGCCTAAATGTGACCCCCCAGTGAATGCTGTGTCAGGGGCACAGAGCCAGGACTTTCGGCAAGTGTGTATGATTTTTCTGGGGTGCAGGGTTGGGATACAGAAGTGATCAGGACTCCCAGGAGACCCAGCCTTTACTTTCCTCTGCCTTATTTCTAGTTATCACCGCTGTGAGTTCAAGATCCCACTAGCCATAAAGAAAGGTGAGTGGGGAGTGCCCTCAGAGTAAGGAAGGGGTTTTGGAATCGCTTTTCCACTCAGAGAAGGGGGAAAGATCCAAAGAAAGACGTTGGTACTAGTTAGGTTAGTGGAGCCTTTGTCCAGTTTGCTTTTGCCCATAGGCTTAGCTCTTATGGAATTATCCCCTTGTTCTAGGGACTGCATTTTTCTTGATCTGGGGGGCTTCATGCCCATTAACCATGACCAAGAACAGGGATTATTGGCCTCTGGAGGGGTGCATTTATTAGCTACAGATGGTCATCCAATGCTCCCAACCCATCATTTGTCTCCACTGCCCATTGCCAGTTCGTATAGCTCACACCTGACTACACTCCTTTTAGCCCTCCATCCCTTACACCCTAGAACCCTAAACAGCCTATGTTCCCAGCACACTCTAATCCCAGTGCAAAGAGTGGCTAGGTCTGAATTCTGCCCAGGACTGGAGCCACAGGTGGGTTGGCCAGCTATCAGCCTGCTCCCTGTGTTCTCTTTTCAGAAAATGAAGATGGTCAGACAGAAACTTGCACAACCTATAGCAAGGTGAGCTTCTGTTTTTCTACCTGACAGCTGGAGAAAGAGATGGGCATGAGCCTGCCCCCATTCTGGGGCCATGTCCTCTGAGCTAGCCATTGGGTACAGGTGTATTTAGGTCCCAGCTAGCCCCTACAGTCCCCTATCTTTTTGCAGTGGGACAATATCCACGAGCTCTTGGGCCATCCTGTGGAGAAGCCTGTTATCCTGCACAGGTGAGTGGGCAGTTATCTCTGACCCTCCATCCTGCTCTTTGAAGCCCAGAAGGCTTGGGGAAGCTTGCCAGTATATTGCTTAAAAATGACAGAAGCTTCTGATGTTGCCAAAACATACTTCTTGGCCTACCCTACATATTAGAACTAGACCAACTGTTCTGCATGTTTACCTGTAACATAAGTTGCCCCCTGGTACATCTCTTCTCTCCCTACCTGTGGGTATGGAGGCCCTGTCACCCTTAGTTATTCAGAAAGGGAAGCAATCTTGACTAGATATTCTGGGCTCTTTTTTCCCATCAAAGCTGCTACCTGCAGGCCTAATTCTGGCTGCCTTGATGCCTGAAGGCTCCCTCTCACTTGAAAGGGCCCTCCTGACTTCTCACCACTCCCATTCAGTTCCACAGTGACTTTCCGTGCCATGTTGGACTGGGTAGGATTCTGAGTCAGATGAGGTCACCCTTACCCCAGGACCATGAGGGCTATGTGGTAGATAGTTACACACTAGCAGTCATGTGAGACTGCTGGCCAGTAGCCCATGTTCCAAAAGGGACTGGATGCTCTTCTGGTTTTGCCTTTTGTCTACCCCTCTCAAATCTGGCTTCTGTGGCCTCAGGTCCTCATCCCCAAACAACACCAACCCATTTGGCTCCACATTCTGCTTTGGTCTTCAGCGGATGATCTTTGAGGTAAGTCCTGGAGTCTCTAAAAATAAGCCACTGAGGGGTTGGTGGTTATGGCAGGGTTCTGGCAAGTGATTTTGGGAATTTCGGAAGACCTAACTTCAAAGCTGGGCAGATTAATTCTTCCTCAGCAACCTTGTCTGCATTCTTAGCCTTCGCACACTTAACAGTGGGGCACACTTAACAGTGGGGAGTGATGTTAGGAAAATCTAGGGAGCTGGGTGTGGTAACACACACCTCTAATCTCAGCACTTGGAAAGCAGAGGCAGGATTATCTCCATGTGTTCAAGGCCAGCCTGGACTTAGTGAGACCCTGACTGAAAAAAAAAAAAAAATTTGGGTCATGGGAGCTGAAGCAATCTATATTCATCAAGATAAGAGACAATAGATCTTATATTTGTATCTGAAAATGCATATAACAGGGAAGGGGGAACCTCAGGACAAATGGGGCAGAACCTGGGCATTTTGGGGGGCCCTTGTGAACCATGTGACTGAATATACTGTGGGTAACTGGCTCTCGAGGCCCTGATGGCCGTGTTCTCAAGAACAATGAGTAGCCCCTATTTTCCATCTGGATGCCATACCTTTAGCAGGCCCTTAGCGGTTCCAGAAGGACTAGGCAAATGGGTATGGTAAGGCTGTGTATTCCACGAACACAGGCACCCCTTTGGGGAGAGTTCCACCTAGTATGAAGTAGGGAAGCTTGGGGGGTCAGGAAGCCCAGGCCTTGTGTGTAGGTATGTCATGAGCACAACCTCCAGCCTCCCTCAACCCTCTAGTACATAAGATCTGCTTACATCTCTTTTACCCCTCCCCTTTGACCATTGTCCTCTTCTTACACCAGATCATGCAGAACAACCACATTGCCTCTGTGACCCTGTATGGCCCCCCCAGGCCTGGTGCCCACCTGAGAACAGCAGAGCTCCCCTAGGGACATCACTACCTGTGTCCCTCTGCCCATGGAATTGTGGGTCTCTGTGCCACCCTATGGGTTTTCTTGGACATCTTGGCAGTGTTGAAGGTCTGTTGGAATGTTCAGAGGTGGGCTCAGGCTGGGTGCTCCGCTGTGGGACAAGGGGCCCAGATATTCCTCTGTCCATCCTAACCCTGCTGCTGCTAGCAGGGAACACAGACTGCAAAGAGAAGCACAAATTTTGAGCCTTGATACCCGGACCCAGGAGCTTTGGACTAACACAGAAGAAGGCAGGACATGTCAACCCCTGTTCCACACGTATTGGGAAAACTTGGGGCTCTTTCTGTGGCTGATATAAGCATCCAGGATGAGGACAAAGTCCTGCCTTTGACCCCACATTGCCACGTGACCTTTAAGGCAGGCAAGTAGTGTCCATAGTACTTGGTTGCAACATTTGCACTACATCTACTTTAGTTACTTGAGCTGGCTATGGTCAAGGTGGCCACCTGCCCTTCCCTGTTCCTTTTATATGCGTTCCCTGCCAGTCCCAGGAGGCACACCCACCTGGTGAAACATAGCTTCCTATCATCCAGGTATGTGCCCAGGCCTGGTTTTTCCACTGCTCTGGAGCCAGCTTTCAAGGTCACCTTGCCCCTGTTTTACCCAACCTTGCTGGCAGGGCTTTATGTTTCCATTCTGTTTGCCTCTTTTATTTAATGCCAAAGTTTTAGCCAAAGACATCTTCCTTTTGTTGTATTTTAGCATTCTGTTCTGCACTGTGGGCCAGCTCCCTGCTCCAGCCCTATCCACTGTCCCCTGGCTGGGCCTTTCATGGCTCATGGCCTCTGGGGGCTCAAGGAATCCTGGGCTGCTTGATCTCTTCATAGGACTTGCTAATGGGAAGTAGCATATATGTGCATTAAAAATATTAAGCCTTTTGAAAAGAATTGAGAAGAGAAATGTATACTTTTATCCCATTTTTAATATTTTGGTCTAGCAACTTGTGATACATAGATGACAATTTTGTGAGTTTTTCAAATGTGTGTACAGATTTTTGTAAATATGACTTTTGTAATTAACTCATGTACAGCCTCATACTGTATAGTTCATGATGAATGTGCAAGGGACCTGCCCCAAGTGCTTGCCTGTATGGTTCCTGCGCCTACAGCTAGACTTGTGTGGCACTCCCATGACTTTGTGACTGAGTGTCTTCCCATTTTGACCGCAGTCTGGCCAGAGACCCTGCACATCTCATTGTCGGGGTAGCCAGGACTGTTCCATCCTCTTGGAATGAGGGAACCTTCCTTGCCCACATTCTCTCTCCAATAAAGCACCTAAGCCCTCAGCAGCAGCCTGCCATGGGTTGTTGCTGGGATGTTCGTACTAAAATAAGTGTGGAGGTGTTGATTTTTTGAAGGGGATAGTTGAAAAATGTGGGAAAAATTTATAGTGGAGGAGTCTTAAGGGGTCCCTAGCTGGGGGGGGGGGGTGTCTTAGAAGGACATCGACATAACAGCATGGGTGTAGGGGGATGAAGAAGACCATGACACAGTTGTTTCTGTGACTCTGTCCCTGGTCCTCCAGTCAGACCTGAGACCTGGAAGGGTTGGCTCAAGGAAAGACCTCAGAGAAGGATGTAGACAGGGACAAGATGGGCTGGGGATTTAGCTCAGTGGTGCTGCCACCTGCCTTGCAACCGCGAGGGACTGGGTTGTGACATACCTACCAAGTCCATGTTGTGCTGTGAAGCCTGGCCTTATAGGGGATGAGCCGCCCTCCATGTGTCTACATCATTCTAGGGGTCCCAAACCAAGCACCACCAGAATACACACCTATTTGCTACTAGGAAAACTATCTACTGGTCTAAGGCCTGGTGGGCAAGACATGGTCTTTTACCACCCTGGCTCTGGCTCTCTCAGCGGGTCATCATGACATTGGTTCTAGATTTGCTTCTGACAGTGTGGGCCACCAGGAGCCAAGGTCGGTATTCTTTAGGACCCTGAGGCAGATACCCAGTAGTCTGGGCAAAGACCACATAATAGTAATCTGCATGGGAAACCCCTTTAAAAAGTTCCATTCTGGGGCTGAGTGAGAGAAGTCAGCCACTGATGAGTAGTTAAGGGTTCCACTGGAAGGGTCCTGCCGCAACAGGCTGCGGATGTGCGCAGACCGGCCCATACGGCCCATGCAGCAGGCGCCACATAAGCCAGATGTCAGCAGCCGAAAGCCCGTGAACTACAACCAATTCACGGTAGAAGCAAGGGTCGAAGGTGTGCAGATGAGGTGCGGCTGAAGGCTGGGAGATGCCAAAGGTGCGGAATGCTGGGTGAGGCTCAGGTGTGAGTTGAAGGCGCTGCAGACACATGCCCAGAAAGACATCGTCGATGGGAAAGAGCTCAACCTGCTTGCAGGCACTGGACAGACGGCGCAGCGTAGCTCCCGAAAGAACAAACCCACCGCCGCCTGCGTAGGCTGGATAAACAGGCAGGCCATACACAGCCTCGGGGATGTAGTACTTGCTACCTCGTGCGCGGATTGGCCGCGCCTGCACAATCACATCACCTGCAAGCAAGTCCTGCGCTGGATCCCGTGGGGCCAGGAACTCCAGCAGGTTCCCCACATTCACAAACACATCAGCATCGCCCTTAAAAACGAAGTGCACGTCAGGGCAATAGGCTGAGGCCCACGCCAGAAAGTGAATCTCCTTGAGTGTTAGGTTGAAAAAAGTGTCGTCGAAGGCCCAGAGCAGAATGTCCGCGTAGGCACGGCTCTCAGCCTGCAACAGGGCGCGCCAGTGCGTCTGCACGCCCTCCCGCTCTGCGTCGCCTTTGGTGCCTGGGTCCTTGGGCACGCCCAGCAAGAACACGCGGCGCACGAGCGCCCCCTGCACGCGACCCTCAGAGCCCCAGGTCTGGCGCACTGCTTGGCGCCGCTCAAAGTCAGCCGCCACAGACTTGACAGCGATGAGCAGGTCTGGTTGGCCTCCAGGTGCGCCGTCACCGCGGCACTTGTGCGGCTGGTTAATGAGCAGTGGGAAGCGCCGCTGGTCCTTGGCGCGCAAGTAGCGGCGGAAGTCAAAAGGGCCCGTGGGCGTGGGGGGTGGGTGCGTGTCCTCTTCATAGGCCGGAGGGGCTGGGCCGGCGTCTGGTACCTGGAAGGCGCGAGGCCCCAGCGTTGGCCTCCGTGCCACCCGCCCTCGCTCTCGTGGCACGCTCGAGGTTGGGGCCGGGCCATCGCGCTGGGCGTAGAGTAGAAGGGCAAGGGCTGCGCCGAGAAACAGCGTGAGCGACGCGTCTCCGCGTAGATGCAGCCTCCTCCTCATGTCCTTCTGGCCAGCGCCGGCCCTCTTTCGAAGGGTCACGGGCAGGGCCTCCGAGGTGGTAGAGTAGCAGGCAGTGGGCAGGGGCTTCCAGCCCTGCCCTCGCGGAGAGGAGGGGGTGGGAGGGCACACCTTGGGGGCTTCCAGCTACTGGACGGTCATCCCCCTCTTGGCCCTGCGCTCTGCTGGGGGATGAGCAAGCTAAGGGGATAAGAAGCTCCCCTTTTGTACCCAACTCCCACTTGGCCCAGGACCAGGTCCCGAGGCCCAGCAGGGAGTCGCGGAACCTCGGTCCTACTCCTCCCCGCCTCCCCGCACTGAGGCTGAATCGATTCGTTGTATCTTTACCCGTGCCGCTCTTGGCCTGGGTCTCTGCGATCCCGACACTCACGCAAGGCCCTCAGGAGCGGAGCCCCCGAACGCCGGGACCTCTGGGGCTCAGCGCAGGGTCCCAAGGGCAGCCATGGACGGGGCCTGAGCCAAATGCAGCGTTGGCAGGAAGGGGGCCCGGGCCATGCCACGTGACCCTCCAGCCTTGCTGGCCTGGACCTCTGGAGCTCAGCTCCGCCCCGGCGCCGGGAGCACCAATTCCAAGTAAGGACTAATTAATTCCTGAGAAGATACTTCACCAGATGACTGTGGGTGGGGAGGGTCTGGTCGTGGTGCTGACTCCACAAATCCAGCTTTCTGAGGCTTGGGAAGTATCCTGTCTGCGGATACCTCGCGCTGCTCTCTCCGCGGAGTTGGGGCGGGACCTGGGTTGCCAGGAGCCTGCGAGCTGTCTGATCCCAAATTCCTGGAGAGGGTCCTAAGCGTCGACCTGGCCACTATCCCGGCTCATTCTTCAGAGCTCCTCCTCAGCAGCCCTGGTTCCGCCAGGCAGAGGCCATGGCTGCCTCTTACTCCTGGCTCACCATACAAACAAACTCATCCAATTCTTAAAACAGCTCCACCAGCAGCTCTCATTGCTTGTGCCCAGATGGGAAAACTGATTCTCAGGGAATTAAATGATTGCCAGAAAGTACTGTACCACCCTGAGGTCTTCTGCAATCCAGGAGTGTTCCCTCTCTACTTCCTTGCCTTTCATCTGTCCACTGCGTTACAGAACTGGGGGCCTAGATCCTCTTTTGAGTCCCCTGATCCCCAGCATAGCCTCCTACAGGCAGAAAGGAGCATGCCTGTGCCACCGAAGTCCAGCCCAACCTGGACTTGAGGAGGCTTCCTGGAAGCCTGCACACAAAGGTTTGAGCTGTGACCCAAGTGGGCAGAGAGGCACTCTGGAGAGGGAGAGCCCAGTCCCTGTGTAGCTGTGCTGCCAGCTCACAGATCTTTCTTCCTGAACTCAAGGTCTCTGGGTCCTGGCCCATTTGGTAGACACCCCCATTCCATAGTCTGAGAACAGGCCACTAAAAGTAGTGGTGCTACCCAGCACCATCCTCTTTCCAGGGGGTGTCTCTACTCCTTTTCCCTTAAAAAGCCAAGCAAACTATTCATCCCAAGCCTTACTCTTCCCCATTCACAGATCAGTAAGTCTGGCTTTCTCCAAATCTTGCTTCCTACTTCCTCCTGTGGTATAGCTCAACCCCAAGGGTGCTCCTCAGTCTTGACTGATAGGGAGCCTCAATTACGTCAGTGTGGGTATCCCCTGGCTTCCAATCTCCTGGTTTTCCTCCTCTTCTTTGGGCAGCTCCTTTTCTACTGGGTGTCTTTTGGGACCTACCTCTGGGCCACTCCACCCACTACCACCTATCCGATATTCATGAATCTTTATAGCCTGACCTTTCTCTTGAACTCAGAACTGTACAATGTCCCTCACTCCCCCTCCCTGGATGCCCTGTAGGATCATCATTCCCCAGGCCTCTGTCCTACTGGCAAAGGCAGAAACCAGGTTTTCTCTTAACCTGTTCCTCTTCCAGGGTCACCAGGCTGTTATCTTCTCCCTCTAAACAGCTCTTGGTGTTCAGTCCCTTTCCTCCACCTCTGCAGCTACTGTCCCAGCCTTGTCCACCCCACTCTTCTCCATCCTCACCAACCTCCTAGTGTTAACTCCCAAAACCCTTCAAAGCCTTCTCACTGGCCTTGTAAAATACAAACTCTGTAAAATGGCTCACCAGACCCCTGTCATACCTCACCAATGGGTCACTCAGCAACCCACCCCCATCTAGTCACTGTAAACTTGTACTACTTCTTTTTTCTTCTTCTCTTTCTTCTGAGACAGGTTCTCACTATGTAGCCCAGGCTGGCCTTGAACTGATAGCAATCCTCCTGCCTCAGCCTCCCACGTGCTGAGATTACAGGCGTGGCACCACCACGCCCGTTCTAAATTTGTACTTCTGGCACCCTTCCTTTCTACCTCCCTCCAGACGCTGCCCAAGGCTGCTCTGCCCGGAACACTGTCCTTTTCTCAACTGCACCCTGCTCACACTTATGTACTCCCGAGCCTACCCCAGACTGGAATAGGCCTCTGCACTCCCACAGCTTACTCTGTCAAAAGCGTTACACTTTATTACCACTGCTGAATGTGAGCTGGAGGTAGACAGGATTCATATGTCTTGCTCACCAGTTTTTGCAGCACTAGGGGTGATACCTAGGACATGGAAATTCCAGGGTTTAATATGTCATTTTTCTATGAATGAAGGGGTGAGGGCCAGCCAGGAAGGGAGACACACTCTAAGGCAGAATCACCAAGGTGCACCCTGCCAGCTGGGGTGTGTGTGTGTGTGTGTGCACGCCCATGTGTGCTTGTGGGACACATCGGGAAGGCAGTCAATTTTGTCCCCGGCTGCTCAGTGAAGTTTAGGTGTTAAGTGTGGTCTCAGAGTCTCTTGGATAGAAGAGGGAGGCGTCAGCAGCCGCAGTAGTAGATAGAAACCTAGCTCCATCTAGGTGCTCCAAACCCTGGCTGGGCTCCTGTTTGACCGCCCCTTCCTTGGCACCCAGTCTAGGCCAGGCCACTGTTGGGATCCGCCAGGCCCAGCAGGTCTTCTGCCAGACTGGTGAGTTCATTCTCCTCAAGGGCCTCCACCAGGCGCTGCAGCGTAGCGCGGCGACCCTCGGCCTGCACGAAGCGCCGCAGCAGCTGGAAGGCCTGCTCGTACAGTCCCTCGCGCTCGTACTCATAGGCTAGCGAGTCGAGGGCAGGGTCCCGCAGTGCCCGACAACTGCGCTGCAAGGAACGCCCGACCCTGCGCCACTTGAGGCCCACTGAGCGTGCGAACGTCTGCTGGTCCTGCAGGTTCAGCGGTCGGTTCACTGAGGAGGGAGTGAAGAGGCGGGTGGGCGAAGGGCACCTGCCTGTACCCGCCCGGCCCAACGGGGGGACCCTGGCTCTGCACGTGCACCTCACCTATGGGGTGACCCTGGAACAGAAAGGTCTGGCCAGCCTGTGGTGGCGGCTTCTCCTCCAATGGAGAAGGGCCCAGGGACTGCGAGGGGGCTGGAGTGACCCCCGAGTCACTACCCTGGCCCGCCGAGCCCAACGTCAGATTGCTGAGAGCATCCTCCAGCTCAGCGAGTTCCTCATCCCGGAGTCGGTCCGGCTGGGGGAGGGAGTGTGCGGTCAGTGGGATTCTTAAGGGCAAATCCCCGCCCTACCCCATCCTGACCCCAGTCGGCTGCACCTTCTGGGCTAAGATGCTGTGCACACAGCGCTCCTCATTAGTCAGCCAAGAGTCCAGTCGCTCGGCGCCGGCGAGCAGCTCCAGCTGCAGCGGCAGAGAGGGCTGGTCCAAAGCCGCCGCCAAGTACCTCTGCAGCGTGGCGCGCAGCGCCCCCTCGCGGTAGGCGCGGAGGAAGCAACCACAAGACTGGCGCCCACAGAAACGCAGCTGCACGATCAGCTGCGAGTCGCTGCTGTGGATCTTCAGTATCTGTAGCGCGTCCGGGCTCTCGGAACTCTCTGCAGAGGCAAGCAGTCAGGCGCCAGGCGGTCCCCTAGCGGGGCCGTTCTCCAAGCAGCAGCAGGAAAGGTGAAGCCTGTGATCAAACCCCTATCCCCATCCTCTGGCCAGAGTGCAAGATTACCGAAAGTACCCAGCTGGGAGACAAACTTCGGATGCAAAGAGGAGTAATCCAGAAAGCAGGTCAGGGCTGGGGATGTAGCTCAGTGGCGTTGCGCCTATCCTGGCAAGCCTAAGGTCCTGAGTTCAATTCCCAGTACCGAAGGAAAAACAAAGTTTCCTTCCAGAAAGCAGGCCAGAACCAACTACAGAGTGGGTATAACCTAGCTAGCCCCATCTCTAAAACCTCAAATGAGGGTGAGCCAAAGGGAGGGCCTTTGCAACACAGAAAAGGAACCTTTGCCCTGGGTCCCCAAGCTGTCTAGGAAGGACAGGGGAGGGGTGGGAGGTCTCAGATCTTCAGTCTCCACCTAGTTAGGCCCCTCTCCCCCGGAAGGAGAAGGATCTTCCCGCTCAGGTTAAAGTAGAATCCCTCAATGGCCTCAGCCTTCTGTGGCCTCTGCCCTGGGGTGGGATGGGGGACTTAGAAGGGTAGGTACTGGGGAGGGGTCTTAGGCAAGAAGTGCTACAGTGAGACAGGAAAAGAGGAGAGAAATATGCAATCAGTAGAAAGAAGTGAGTTGGATGGTTAAGAGGGCAGGCAAGGGGGTGCATAGAGCCGGGAGACATTAGTGTAGAAACACGTAGATTAGACCTACACACATGTCTACACTTGAAGACATGCATGCAGTAAGCAGAGAGGCTGACCCTTCACCCAGGGCTCTTCCTCCCTTACCAAGCCCCACTCCCCAGTTGCTTCCCACCCTTTATCTTTTCCCAATCAAGGAGGTGGAGCCTCACCCCCATCTCTATCCAGGCCCAGGCAACCTCTTCCTCTCCCATACTGCCAGCCACGCACCTGCCAATGCAGTCCGCAGAGCCCCGTATACTGCCACCTTCTTCTGGGGGTGTGCATAGGCATCTGACAGGACCACCTTGTCTACCGAGGACTCCAAAAACAGGTATGCACTGCCTACCCACTCTTCATCTCCATTTGACCCAGTTGCCATCTTGCCTCCTGGACCTACAGACAGGAGTCCAAGTCACTCCCAGCCTTGGGGACAACTGTCCAGTTCCATGTTGCCAACTCATCCCCTCCACAACAACCTCAGTCAGCTTGCGCACTTGGGGCAGGAGCTCACCATCTCACAGGCAGCCCCTTTTCCTCTATATCTACATGAAGCCCTGTCCAGCCCTGCCCAGACTTGCAGTGAGGATTATTCCTCCACTGACCTCCAGAAAAAGCCCACAGTTGCCCAGTGCAGTGGCACACACCTGTAATCCCAGTCACTCAGGAGTCTGAGGCAGAAGGATAGCAAGTTCAAGGCCAGCCTAGGCAACTTGTTGACAACCTGTCTCAAAATAAAAAATAAAAAGGGCTAGGGATATAGCTCAATGGAACAGTGCTTGCCTAGCTAGCACTTTTAAGGCCTTGGGTTTAATCCCCAGTACTGGGGGGGGGGGGGTCCAGGGTCAGAAGAACAGAGGAAGAAACTAAAGTGAAAGGGGAGATCCTCTGCCTCCTCCTCAAGCCAAAGATGACAGCAGACATCATTCTGGATGTTGCCCATGCCCAAAGCAAACTAGACCCTGGTCTTACCTTCAGCTTGAACTTGAGACCCAAGATCCCTGCAGGTCTACAACCTCACCCTTTTGTTCTCTCATCTCCATTCCCATTATACCTTCTGGCTTTGCTTTTTTAAGGAAAACCTTGTAGTTCATTCCTACCCAGATTCCCTCCACTAAACCTTGACCGCTGAGAACTTCTCTCCTTCTTCTTCTGAATCCATATGCTTACTGGGAGTGCTAATCCCACTTCCTAGCTCCATGTGTGGGTATGTGAAGCAGGCCTGGCCAATGTACATCTTCTGTTCACCATTCTGCATGGATGAGTTCAGGCCTCCATATTGGACTCAAGTTGGACCAATAAGAATCAAGCCGCTCGGTCCGCCACAGGGCCTTCAGAAGTGGCCTCAGCAGTGTGGAGAGGACTAGACTCACGGGGTGTGAGGCAGGACAGGCTTTGAAAAGGATCCTGCCAGGATCCCAAGCTCCTAGGGCAGAGAAGGTGAGCCAGTCCCAGAACCCAGAAGGAAGCTCCCCCGCTGCCATCCCAAGCTCCGAGGGCAGAGAAGCTGAGCTGGTCCCAGCACCTGGAAGGAAGCTCCTCCACTGGCATCCCAAGTTCCTAGGACAGAGAAGGTGAGCCGCGCCGGCGCCAGAAGCACACACAGCCCCCCACTGTGGAAATGAGAAGCCAGGTAAATAAGTCTCAAAAACAGACTTCTAGGGCTGGGAATTTAGCTCAGTGGT